TTTTTTTTTTTTTTTTTTTTTTTTTGACTTTCAGATTTTGGCAGGAGAATATAAAAGAAGAATGGAACTCAAAAACATTCTGAACTCGCAATTTTTTCGAAAATGTGAGTTGGTTCCTATCTGATAAACTCGGTGCTTTTAAAAAATGAAGGATGACAGCAAGTCTGCCACGTCGTAAACCGAGATCCATGGTTGCGGACTTGCCCCGTCGATACGTTATAGCACATACACGCGCGTAAAACTCATGTTAGCTGAAAATGAAAACTAGGCAGTTAGTGTCTTAACGCAACACAACAAGTTCAAAAGTGAGCCCTTACTCGGGACCAAAGGAACATACCTTTAGTGTCTTTGTGGTCTTTGGAATTATTCGCTACGCTAACTAAGACACGAAGTAAATGCCAAAGTGTATCTCGGTGCACTGCCGGTAGTAACTGTAATAAATGCTGAATTGACTCTATTTGAAGTCTTTGACTCTGGAGTCCTGCAACGAACGACTCCGTTATTTCAAAATCACGAAGAATAAAATGCATGACCAAAAGGTCACGAATAACTTGTACGTAAAAACATATAAATTAAATATTTTCGGGGGTTTACAAGCAAAAAGTGTTCATGTAACAAAAACTGATTATGAACCTTCTTAATCTTATAATCAGTTCGGAGGGCATTAATGGAAAGTTTTGATTCCAACCAGGGATCTCATAAACGTTGACCTCTCAAAAAGATGAGGTCTTCTTTTGAAAATAACCAAAGAGTTGTTCTTCAATCATCCACGGCGAGAGAAACAAGACTTGTGTTTATAATTTTCAGACTTGTGTCGTGCCTCGAACAGACCACAGAGCCACTGGCGGATCCACTAAATTGGCAACAGTGCTTTTCTCAATTTAAACCTATGGCAATGTATCCATTCTTGGAGGGGCCGGGTGCTCGGACAAGAATCGATTATTTAACATAGGTTTAAATGGAGGATATCCGGTGTTGTCAAATTGCTGGATTCGCCTCTGCACAGAGCATGCAAAGAGGCTCTTTTCATCAACTTTTGACTTTCCTATTAAATAGCTCCAGCCATAGGACCACGGAAATTGAGAGAACTTCTCGTGTTCAAAAAGAGTGAGGCAATGCGTGGTGTGGCCGCTAAATATCTGGAACATTAAACAACTGGAAGAGTTCAGATAGTTCAATACTCCCCCAGAGAGGTTTCTAGCGGAGCTAATTGCGATTTTCTAGAAAAATATATCACGGAAAATTAGGCGTAATTGTAAAACATTATGCATGAAAGTTTACTTACGTTGAGAATTAATGAAAGCTGGATACAGGTCCTTGCAAAGGAGAGGGTCGGGCAGCTCTCTTAAATATTCTTTGAGCAATGTTGCAGCGTCGTGAACGTAAATTTCTTGATTGGCCAGCAACTCGTTTCCCCGACCGCAGTCGAACTCCTCCCGCATCTAGGAACCGAACATGCACCATTTAGAGGCAGTCAATATGAAGTGGCGTCCCATTTTGGTGGTTTGTTCAGACAGATTAGAGAACTTTAATAAAATCCGTCCAAACACCCAATGAGGGGCTTGCAGTTTTCGAAATTATTGAGATATTAACGATTCCAACTTAAATTGGACTGCATTTTGCAATTTGGAACTATAAATTCTGGCTCTTCTGGAAACACACTTATGTGCATAGGGAAACTAATGGCACGTACGTTGACTTAATTGGACTACATTTTGCAATTTGGAATTATAAATTCTGGCTCTTCTGGAAAAACACTTATGTGCATAGGGAAACTAATGGCACGTACGTTGTTTTTAAACCGGGCTAGAATTTACATTTCCAAGTTGCAAAACGTAGTCCAACTAGTCTTACTGTACATTCTGGGGAAAATTCAATCCCAAATTCCAATTTTTAAGAATCAAAAAATGAGTTTGAACTTTCTTTATGCCATAAGAATCCATATCATCTTAAAACTTTAAACACGTATTTATCAGAATAGCAAGAACTGCGCGTATGCGCCTTGTCCTCCAAGCCCCTCAAATATCACCGCTTAGCATTGCCTGAGATAGACGGACGGTATGAATTTGATCGACATGAATCGATCAAAAAATGAAAACGTTAATCGATCGAGAAATTATAAAAAAGGTGTCGATTCGATTGACAACCGTGAATCGGTAGACAAACGCGTGAATTGATCGCATTTCGTCCATCGAATCGGTGTGGATTGAATCACGTCGATCGACTCACGATGCAAGTTTTCGGTCGATTCCTGTCGATCGAATCGACACCGGTTTTTTAGTAATCTCTCGATCGATTCACGCTTTTATATTCCGATCGACTCGCGTCGATAGAATCCATACCCTCCAGATAAGATTCTCCTAGAAAGACGGTTACTGGTGTCATTACCTACGGCAGTGAATACCATCTTTGATTTACAATCGGAGAAGAATACATTTGCACTGCTTATTTCATTTAGATTCGATATGACCAAATTGAAAGAAACATCTGTAAGTATTAATTGCCATGACGGATGACGTCACATGCTGTATTTTTCCAAAATTTTAACCTCGAACCTGCAACTTGTCGAATGAAAAGTTGGATAGTGTGATACCGACGAGAGAAAACGCACATTCAACTTTACGTTCAAATTTCCATCCAGTTGGTGCCGCCAAAGTTGAACGAAAAGTTGGAGCGAAATCTTCCGACCGACATGCACGAAGCTGTATCCTCGCGAGCCGCAGCTGATGACCATATCACACTGCAACGGTAGTTAAATCAAATTTTTTTGCGTCCAACTTTCCATCCAACTTTTCGTTCAATCATGTCGGATGAAAAGTTTGATGGTGTGAATTAAGCTTTAGGCATTGTCCGTGCCCATGTGAATTTATTAAAATGACGATCTTGTGAACAGAAGATGTAGTTTGTGAAGAGCGACTGGGCTACATACCTGCCTGACCCTGTTCTTCGAGCTGCCGACTCTGAACACGCCCTCGGTGTTGAGTCCCTGCTGTTCGATGACGTTGAGGCAGGTGAGGACGATGTTGGGGACCCCAGGGTCGAAGGGCTGAT